TATTTATTTATTTAATATATTTAATATATTATTTATTTAATATATTTAATAATATTATTTATTTAATATATTATTACATGTTTTCAAAAATTAAATCACCAAATGCAGTTTCAGTTTTTTTTTAAAACTGAAATCAATCTCTGAATAAAACTACAAAACGCATTTCAGAAATAATTCCAAAATGAAAATGAAAACGTTTTCATTTCTATTTTCATACAGAAAGCAAAATCATTTTAGAACCAATTCCAAACGCACCCTACATCACTCTTATGATTGATCCCATCCCGTTCGTGTCTTCTTAACACACAAATTATAATTTTCTGCATTTAATTAAGGGGAATTCTATATTAAGGTGTCCTCACCGTAGGATGTGAGATTCAGGACGGACTTTCCATAATCTTTTAGCACTCATTCAATCAATATTTTTTTGTTATTTAATTTTTTTCTTGATAATTCAGTCCTTAAGTTTAAAATTAAAAATAACGCCAATTGTCAACGGATGTAGCATTGGATTACCAATAACTATATGTTAAATTATTTAGTATTGTAATTTGCGTACAATTGAACCACTCTCAAAGAGGGTGTTTTTTTTTTTTATTAATTAGGATAAATATCACATTTGGTGTAGCCTTGTAGGTATGAAAATTGTCATACAGCCATCATTGAATCATGAACGGGTCAAAATGTCATCTCAACCTCTTTCTTTATATATTGCATTTATTTTATATTTTGATTCTTCATCAAAACATATACTAAAGTAGGTTGTCATAAGACTGTAGATGATGTGTGATTTGGGTATTTTGGAATGCCTCATGAAAAGATGTACTTAAGGGAAAAAAAAAAATAAAAGATTTTCTAGTACCTATAGAGAAATTTTACAATAGTGAAAAAATAAAAATAAAAATAAAATGATCTTTTCTCTATTTATTTCCCAGCTGAAATAAAATCTTGATCCGTGTGCACATATAGGCGTTGAGAGCATATATGCATGGTAGAACTAGGGGCTCACAACTTTGAATACTTTTGGAATGTTTGGATTGTGTGTTTTGCATGTTCTGGCACCGGCATGTTGCACACAATGGAAACCTTGGATATTGATACCAATGATTTGTTTGTCTCCGATTCCGACTTTGAATTCGGATCAGTCTTCCAAACTCGCACCTCCCACACCTGCATGTCTTCAAAATTAATGCTACGCGTGTTTACTCATAAAACCATATGACAATAGCGTGATCATTTGTATAAAAGTGTACATCAAATATTTGTATAGACATAACCAATATTACACTTTTCGCAACAATATATGCTAAGAAGCTTAAAATTCTAGCTAAATTAAAAAAAAAAAAAAAAAGACTGATGAAGGAATATTAAATTTAAAAAGGAAAGTACCTGAATAGTTTTGCCAAGAGTACTGATAGGGGTGGCTTGAGCAAGAACAAGGTCTCCCAACTCGGCGGGCCTCAAGTGGTTGATGCTCAGTTGAATTCCGGCCACCCTTTGGTAGCCCGAAGCAATCATGGCTCCTATGCTCGCCAGTGCCTCCGCTATCAGAGCTGACACTCCTCCATGTAACACCTTGAATGCCTGATCATTTCATATACATACATATATATATATAGAGAGAGAGAGTATATATATGTACGTATATAATATATATAGCAACGTATCAAACTTTCTTTCTTCAGTTTGTTAAAAGAAAAAAAAAATCTTTTGAACAAGATTTGACAGGAAGAAGAAGGAGAATGTTGTAACACCTTAATGTTATATGCTCAAATTAATATTATTCTATGTCTTAGTTGACTACTGCGATCTTTCTTTTCTTTTTCTTGATTCGTAAATAACCTCACCAATATATTAACAAGACTTGTTTTATGATAAAACTAATGGTGATAATCGTAAAATTATTTCTCGATAGAATTAATTATCAACATATGATCTGTCCAAATATATGTCCTCTAAATTTATAAACGTAAGAACATTATCATAAATTACCGATATAATTAACTTTTAGCATTGATCGAAATTTGAAAGGAAGAAAGTAAGAAATTAAGAAAAATGATGATGAGTACCTGACAACAGTTGGGGGTGATGAGGAGGCGACCGGAGACCTTGTTGGGAGACAACACTTCAAACTCAAAACCAAATAAATGAAGAGGAGCGTCCACCTCCTCCGTCTTAATTTTTGATAATATCGAAGACGATGAAGATGAAGATCCTTGCTCAGCCATTTTGATTTTTTTTTTCTCCTATTAATTGCCCACAAAATAAAAATTGTGTCTTTTTTCTCTGTTTTGGTTACAATACAAATGGGAGCGTGTCCTATTGCATGTGTGTACTTGTCATTTTTAGTCATGTCTTTGTTGTCTTTCTAATTATCTCCTTTTGACTTTCACTTTGGTGCCGTCAGGCGTGGGGGCGTTGGAAATCTCAAATCAGAAAAAACATATAAAATATATGTCTTTTTTCTTTTTTTCAATTCGAGATATTGAAAATAGGTATAAGATATGGGAAACAAACACCAAAGACTTCGTATAACGTGTTATCATGTTTGCATTTATGAAAATTATTATATTAATTTAGGAAAGAGAAATGTGAAAATAATAATAATGATAATTAGAATAATAATTGAGACTAATTAATCACCCAAAAATGATAAATATTTATTAAATGGGTATACTATATAAAATATATATATACTCCAAAGCTCAACTATTCAACATTTGTCAACACGTGGCATTCAAGTAAATCAGGCATAAAGCGTGTGCGCTGAAGCCCAGCACACAACACAATGGGCTAATCCACCACCCGCCAGTTCATGAAGAAAAGTCAAGGGCTGCAATATCATAAATTGACTTGATTAATTCCAAGTTAAACACGCCTTAAGACTATCGGGACAAATGCAATGCATGTTGTCTCCTTTACTCTTATGCAAATTATTATAGCAAAGACAAATTTGCTTTTTTCTTTCCTTTTTGTTTTTTGTTTTCCTCTGGAAATAAATTTTGTTGGTGAAGATATTATCAAGGGAACATGATTGGTTTCCTATTATGTAGATCACCACATAATATATATATATATACATATATATATTTCATATGTATTTTACGCGTTCAATTGTGATTTTGAGGGGGAGGATCAAGGAGGAGGGACTGATTTCGAGAGCAAGAGAGACTACTATATATGATGATGAGTACATCAAGAATACTTGTAGGACAAGATTTTAGTACGGTAGCAAGACCAAAACTTAAAGGAATTGATGGGACCCGCACAAGTGGTGAAGCATGTGGTTTAATTCAATAAAACGCCCAAAATCTTACCAGTCCTTGACATATGAACAAAAAAACATGTCCTTAACGAGATGGCACTTACATTTATATAGGTGTTGCATAGCTGTCGACAGCTCATATCATAGTCAACATGCTTAATCGGTCTTGTTAAAATGCGAATTTATATGCTCTGATACTATAATACAGTTTAGAAAGTAATTGAAAAATTATTGCATCACCTTTCAATTGATTATAATGAATATATATATATATATAAAATACACAACTCTTAATACTATTAATTGGTAAGACATTATTTTTTTTAATTTTTTTCTAACATAATGAAATCAGCCTAAATCAAGGGATTGACTAAAAAGAAAGCATTATCAAATACATAAAATACATATATATATATATATATATATTGTAATCTACAAAATGGGAAACCAATCATGTTTCCGTGAGAGTTATCACTTAGACCATTTGTAATATAAATGTTAATCTCAATTATATATTTAATAACAAAAAGTATAATAGGGCATGTTATTTTTATTTGTATTTGTAGTCTAATGCATAATTAATGCTATTTAAAATGTTAAATCTATTTTTTTCTATCATCATTAAGGTTTGAAAGTTGTAAAAGTAGACTTGTAATTTTAAAATAATTTTAAATTTTAAAAATTACAATGATTAAATTAAAAATAAACATTTCAACTAATAGAAATTAAATATCAAATTTGTCATATACTATATTTCGTGAAAAATTTGTCACAAAGTATAGCATGTGAGAAATTTGACAATGTGAGAAATTTGACACAACAAATAGTATTTTATTGGAGGGTGTTTTTTACCATTAATTGTTAAATTTTTAATTGACACATTAATTATAATATTGTATTGGAGATACTCCTAGTTTATGTCACGCCCCGGAGCAGGGGTCGGTGACGTAGATGCTCGATTAGGAGTTAAACATGATTAAGAATAAAATAATAAAGAAATCTCCAAATGAGCCCCACTATTTTACTGAAAATAAATTACAAGAACATCTCAAGAGATGCTAAAACTCCCGCCTTTAACACTGTTTAGGGTTACACCCACAGGATCTATCCACAGGATCTTCAGTATTGTACATACATGAACATGTAAATAACATTACAAATTTACAGACATCAACCATAGTCTAGAAATCCAAATATCAGAGTTTACAGAATTTACAAATTCTTACATTCGTACACCAGGAGGATGAACACAATCATCTCTAAATCGGGTGGTAGCAACTCAGCTACTCCACTTTTCTCCTAGAGTCGCCTGGGAGGGGTTTAACATTTATAAAACAATAAAACGTGAGCGAAATGCCCAATAGGATATATTTTGAAATAACTTAATAAATAAATAAATAAATAAATAAAAAGATAAGCAAGTAAATAAATAAATAAATAAATAAATAAGATATTCAGTTTCAACACAACAACCGGAACCTCACATCCTTTTTCTCAAAGGAATATAATTGAAAATCTTCGTATTACAGGCATCAGCAAGTAATTTATACTATGATAAATTACTTACACAATCATGTGCACAAGCCTAATCACCCCCGGGCCGGATTTCGGGTTCTGCCCCAAGGATGCACTCTCCACATCCTATCTAGGCCATCAGCTGGTTTACCGATTCACAAGATCTCTTGTCTTAAGAAATCATTCATTAAACTTTATAAAATAGTTCATTATACTTCCAATAGCTAAAATCAAGCTATTGTTTTTAAACATGCTTTTCTTTCACAAACACACCCTTTTTTTGAAACATTTGGAAGACCAAAACTCTTTGAAAACAGGCTCACAAGGAAAGGGATAAGGAATCCTACCTCGTAAATACCAAACCTGTGGCTAGCCTTACTCTATTCTGGCTTTCGCTTCCTCAAGCCCCTCAATTCGAGTCCTTAGCTAGCACTGATACAAAATAACACTTTAGGATCCAATTCTCATTCCTAAAGCAATTCAATCTCAATTATATCCTTTAATTTCCTATTAGTGTGCCATAATTCAATTACCGGTTTCACAAACCATTTCATGTTTCAAATCATCATTCCAAGGGTTTTTAATCTCAAAACATGGATTACGGAAGCTAATCCATTCAGTCTAGGTCCTCAAATGAATGTAATTTGGGTCATCCTTGAAAACCGATGTCAAAACAAGGTTTTTCGACAAAACAGGGTCAAACCCAATGTACACCGGTCGACCGGTGACAGCGCAGTACAACACCACCGGTCGACCGGTAGTGTGCAATTTGATCGACTGCATAGGTCGACCGGTATGACCAATACAGTCCGGTCCAGTCGACCGCACATGTCGACTTGTGAAGAACAGCAGGGCGAGGAAAACTCGCAGAATCCGTCCAAAAACCTGTAATTTCAGTTCCAAATCGAAATATCTCAAAGGGAAACCACTAGATCCAGGCTCTAGGTACTGAATCAAGTCTAAAGAACCCAAGATCTCCTACCATGGTTTTACTCAAAATCCATCAAAATCCATTTTGAACCAAAATAGGTTTTCTAATATACAAAATCCAAGATTCAAGAGAGGGTTTTTCAAAAATCTTACCTCAATTCCTTCTCTTAACGTTGAAAACTTCTTTAAATCCTTTCTTGGTTCAAGATCCGGTTGATTTGAGATAAGAATGGAAGAGAGGGAGTGAGAGTGAGAAAGAGAGAGTATGCACGGGAAGGAAAGAAAGGAAAGAAAAAGGAAAAAGAAAAAGAAAAGAAAAGACAAGTGTCTAATATTTAAAATGACAGTTCAGAAATGTGCCTATACACACTTCTGGTTAAAAATGTAAATACTGAGAATATTTAAATACATTGAAATTATTCAACTTTACACGTCAGAAATATTTATTAATCAATAATCAATTAATTAAACCAGATTAGACACACTAATAAATCTTAATTACCTCAATTAATCTTATTTAATTCTTCAGGGTGTTACAGTTTACCACGGGAAAAAGAGGAAGAAAGAAGAAGATTTAGGAGTTTAGCGGAAAGATTTTATAAGGAATGAATTTGGTGAGAAATTTAAATCATTCAAAAATAAAAAATAAATAAATTTTCAATAATAATCTCCCCCAAGTTGGATTAGACTTAATTAGGCTATGTTGTCAAAATTATTTATGATCCCCCTAATTGAAGAAAACCAACAAAGTAAGTAAGAATAAATCAGTCATTATACTAATAAAATATTTTCTTTCCCTTTCTTTGTAGCTCTATACCAAAAAATTAGACCAAACACCATAAAAGATAAAATGTGAACCTTCCTTCCCTCTCCATTTTATTCACCTAAATTATCCATCTCTCTCTCCTATCAAACAAGGCTTTAATTTCCACCATAACATTAACACGGTTCCCTCATGCCCAATCTGCCAACTGTAGACTACTTTCTACTATACTACTTCTAACAAATCAATGTGAAACCTCTCTGCCCTCTAAGGAATCAGCTATACTAAAAGAAAACACAAACCATTTGCTGCAAGTCTACAATGTTAAGTAATGTGGGGGTGAGGGAGAGAGAGAGAGATTGGTGCTAACAACCGGTCTTGGTCTGACACGTGTTAAAGATGAGTATATAAACTATTGTCTCATTCACTTCGCGGATTTGAGTTTTCAATTCGAGTTGATATGTGATATTTTTTGAGAGTTTTTCACTGTAACAGAAAAAGTTAGATGTGATATTTTCTAAGAGTTTTTTACTGTAGAAACTTAAAATTGAAAACTCGAATCGGTGAAATAAACGAGGCCTATATGTGCTAGCTTAACCAAGTATTCATATATTGGCCAAGTTAGCAGTATCCAACCCCTCTTTGTGTCAAAGGGATTTTTTAGGCTCGTTCATTTACACAAACTCAAAAAAAATTTAAACTTAAGTTACAATTTTATTCGAGTTTATATTCTTTTATAAAATTTAAGTTTGAAC